ATCGAATAAAGGATCAATAATTTGAATGCACATGAAGTTGATTTTATCCTGCAGGTTCAATGTATGGTGGAATATTAATGGAATTAGCTAGCTTTAATTTGTATCTTTCATCACTTCCTACTCTGTCCTTTACTGTTTTTTTCTCTAGAAATGTCTTCATGGGTATCATATCAAGCAGCAAATTCAAGACTCGTGTGCTAAATAATCAAAAAAAAAAAAAAAAAAGTAAATTAAAAGCAACAATAGAAAAACGCATAACGTATGTAACTAGTCACGACTCATTTTTACACGATAAGACGTGAATATCTTTTGAATTTTGAAGAAGAAAAACTCGATTTTAACATTTTATTATTTTTCTTAAAAGTTAAAAACTTCAGCATTCAAAGCTATAATCATGAAAAATCCACTACATGCCCGCATGGGTAGCTCAACTGGTCATAGAGATGAAACTTTAGAAGAATGACCTGAGATCGAGTCTCACCAGCGGCAATGTGGGAGCAATCTCTCAAAGTGAGGGGGGCTCCTTGGGCAAATTATATTATGCACCACGGTGCATAATCGATTATGCACCGCGCGTCTTTTTTTTTTTAAATGAAAATTAACAGTGTTTGTTTCCGCCGTTTCGCACTCTTTTGTAAAAAGTAACTCTGTTATTCAGTGTCATTTTGTATACACTTCAGTTTCAGTTGAACACAACTACAGTTTCATTTCGATATAACTATAGTTTCATTCGATATTTATAGACACAAATATGTGAAAATGTTATTTAATTTTATTTTATATACACTATAGTTTCATTAAAACACAACTACATGATCATTTTGATATAATTACAGCTTCATTGTACAATATACACTCAAATATGTGAAATGTTATTCAGTTTCAGTTTATATACACTGCAGTTTCATTTCACTATAACTACAGTATCATTTTGATATAACTGTAGTGTCGGTTTGGATATACTGTAGTGTTAGTTGGTGTTTAATACACCAAATAAGCGGACTCCGTTAACTCTAACGGCGGGCCGTTTCTTTACTTAAAGAAACAGTGTCGTTTTGACCGCGGTGCACATGCACCGCGGTCTATAATATAATGACTGGGCTCCTTGTGCGCAGTGAGCACCGGTCTAGCCTCTGTGATTAATGTTCAGTTGAGTCACTATGATTTACAACCTCCCACCGCTCTGTTGGGCCGGGCCCTTAGGGTTGGGGTTCAACCTTTTTTGGAAGAATGAAAAGTTCCGCTCTGTTGGGCCGGGCCCTTAGGGTTGGGGTTCAGCCTTTTTTTGGAAGAATGAAAAGTTCACTACATAAACATTTAAACTCGGATAATAGGGTCTTTAAAAAAAAAACAAAAACTCGGATAATATAATGACCATGTTTGGTAAATGACTGTTAGCTGATTGTGTTAATTAGAAGATATAACTAGTTGTAACATTAGCTGTTGTATAAAAGTGTTTGACTGTTAGCTGATTGTGTTAATTAGAAGATATAACTAGTTGTAACATTAGCTGTTGTATAAAAGTGTTTGGTAAATTAGCTATTAGCTGATTGTTGTTTGATATAATTTCTTTTTTCAAAAAGTTAATTGATAAAGTTGCTAGGAGTAGTTTTTTGAATTTTAATATTTTGGAATTGCAAAAAAACTAATTAATCAAAACTGAAACACTTATATTGATATTTTAACTAAATCAAATAATTAATAGTGGTCAATAAATCAAAATTGACCCCAATTTTTTACCAAATAGGGCCAATATCGCACGTTTCATGAGCATTAGCGCGGTAGTGCTAACATAACTACTATTTGTCACTAATTAATGTTGTTTAACTTGTCGTGGCGTCTACGACTAGAAGTTTGAAGAATTTATAATACATCATATCGTACAGTGGTAATAAATATATACCTTGACATCGGCCGCCATAATAGTACAAAACCTCATATTCAATATATTCATTCTTAGCTTTATAAAAGCCTCATAACCTCATCTTCTCAGTCTTCTTAACCAATTCACCCTCTCTCTCTCTCTCTCTCTCCACTATATATATTCATGGAGGCCTACCCGACACTGTTTGGATCGAGTTCTTCGTCGCCGTTAAGGTTGTCGCCTCATTTGTCGCTGGCGAGCATGGGTAATAATCATCACGAGATGAATAACAGTTACATGAAGGAAGATGCCGCACGGGGCGATCTGCAGTTTCATGGAGGAAAGGGAATGAAGGGGTTGTTGGAGCAGTTGAAACGCACGGAGGCGGCGGCGGCTCCTACGTCGGACATGAAAAGCCATGATTCCAGCATTAGTACAAACAGTTTGACGGCGGAGAGTGATGAGGCGGCGAAATCATCGTCATCGGGTTACAAGATCAAGAAGGGAGAGAAGAAGATAAGGAAACCTAGGTATGCGTTCCAAACCAGGAGCCAAGTGGATATTCTCGACGATGGTTATCGATGGAGGAAATATGGACAGAAGTCTGTCAAGAACAACAATTTCCCAAGGTTTGTTTGTCTTTTTTTTTTTGTCTGTTAAATAACCTTATTTAAGCTGTTGGACTATTTAATTAACTTTATAAGTAAAATACATCGTTAATCTGCACATATGATACATTAATATGATGGATCTACTACTCACTAGCTACATACATATAGATAAACCTTAATTTTTGAATTGGTAGAATCAAGGTAGTTGGCTGGATTGGAGTTAGTTGTCTGGGGCGGCGGAGATCAATATATAATATAGATTTTGATGTTAGAGAAGGAAATTAAATTGAAAGAGATGATGGCTGGGAATGGAGGAAGTTAGCCGGCCATGAAACCATAGTGTTAATTGAGAGAAGAAGAATAAGTAGAAAAATTAAAGCACCACCTATGATGGAGGAGGTAAGTGGGAGAGATTAAAGGGTAAAATATATAATTAAAGATCGAAAAGGATATTAAGAAACCCTAATTGATACCAGGTTGAGAATATTGTTTACCCTAATTAAATTAAAGTTATACAAAATATTTTTAGATCATAATAAGGAGGGGAAATTCGAGTGTCATTCCTAATGCATAATACCTCATATAGACTCTTCTAGTTTGAGGAATTTCTAGTCCGATCATCCAACTCTGCCTGGTAAATGCTTGAGAGACTCCCTACCATTATATTCCATATATCCACTTACTACATACTCGAGTGAGTTGCCAACTACACAATTTGTCACTCGAAAGATGTATTTACTCTAAACTTTTCAATATCTATCCAGCTAATATTTATACATCTAGACTACATTTCTTTAACAAGTTAAAATCTATACTAGTACCTAGGGTTTTTAATTATTAAGATTTAAGAAAAAATTGCTTATTATACTTCGAAGAGTACGTATGAAATTATTTTCTAAGGATAATATAGAACTTAGCTTGTCTTATATATAAAAGTTATGCAACTCTTCACTACAATAATTCTTAACCTAGTTGTAATCAAATATAATGTTGAGTGTGATGAAACACATACAAAAACAAAGTACATACTCTAGCTATATACATACAAAATTCTCACCAAGTATCTTGGTCTTTCAACAAGAGAATGTTATTGATCTTTATCATTATATAAATATAGGTGGCAAATGTTCTTTCAAGAACAAAACATGATACCCTACGTCATGAAATGATATAAGTTCCCCCATATATTTAATTTGTTATATACAGAATAATCATAAAACCTAGCTTATATGTCGAGTTAACTTATGATAAAATTTTGATATGCATTAAAACGAAGTTTACGTTTAATTGAATTATGGTTATTTTGGTGGTGTAGGAGCTACTATAAGTGCACGCATCAAGGGTGTAACGTGAAGAAGCAGGTTCAGAGGCTGTCTAAGGATGAAACCGTTGTGGTGACAACCTACGAAGGCATGCATTCTCATCCAATTGAGAAGTCCACTGATAACTTCGAACACATTCTCAGTCAGATGCAAATCTATGCCTCCTTTTGAATTATTAATCCTTTGTTTGCTAGCTTATTTCATTCAATCCTTTTTTTTTTTTTTTTTACTTAGTTTCAAATGACTGTATATTGCTTCGGTTACTTGAACTGTCTCCATGCTAATAATATATATTTATAAAGCCAACCTTAAACTAAAGTTTGTCTTATTAATTAACATTGATTACAATAGTGTTCAATGGTTTTATTATTATTATTATTTTTTATTTTTATTGGTCTTTTGTAATTTATAATTAAACGTCTCCGATCTCCACCATGCACGATGCACCAAAGTATTAGATCAAAATCATACATGTGTTGCCCGCACGAGCTTAGGTCACTGATTCAATAGGTGTAAGGAGTTGAGAATATATAAACTGCAAAGCATTGTTGCAGAAAAAGATAAGGAATATATATATATATATATATATATATATATATATATATATATAGTTTTTTCTCAAAATGGTCCCTTGGCTATCGCTCATTCTCAATTTTGCATTTCGACTTTCAATTGCACCCAATGTGGTCCCTTGACTTTTACAAACTACCCCAAATTGGTCCTCCGTTAGATTTTTCGTTAATTGAGCGTTAATTGTGAGGGTATTTTGGCCAGTTTACACACTTTGCACCTATTACATCTAGAATCATAAACAGAAAAGTTCATAATATGTTGGCTGGATACGAGATTTGCGTAAATCAATATTTTGACCCCAGAGAAGGAAAACCGACGCAAAGGAGTCCGAGTTTGTTATGAAATAAAATCGATTCTCTAGAGTCCGACTTTTTTTTTTATTATTGGTTTTTAAATAGATTCGGACCCTTTTGGTTCGAATCTATTGAAAAAAATTTATTAAGTTTTTTTCTTTTTGTTTTTATTTTTTTAAGGAATGCAACGAATGTATTCATAATATTTTTTTGTCAAAGAAGGTTCAGTACGTGTCTATACTTGATATTAAACATTGAATTTAGATGAAAAATTGGATAATTAAAAATATTAAAAAAGCATTATTTTATTGATGATTCAAAGTAGGACAGTTGGGGGAAGAATGAGTTGTCCTCCGACAATACCTACATCTTCTACTTCGATTTGAACCGAAGTCCATTTCATTTGAATACCTACGCGTGCGGCGCTGTCCTTGTTGATTTGGTTGCCTAGCAGAAATTGGTGGAAGGCAAGTAACTGGACCGGTACACTGAATTCTTTCGTCTACGGGGTAAAAATTACCGGCATAACAGTTCCTGTAATTTTCAACCGAGTAAACATCTGGCACTAATGGGCCGAATCCTTGCCCTCGGTAATTGCATGCTGCAATCACATGTGCACAAGGTAAGCCGTTGACGTTCCACAAGCCGCAGTTACACGTACGTTCCGTTAGATTCACTTGAAAGTGATATTGTTGACTTTGGGAAACGTAACTAGTATTTAGGGCAACACCATAGATTCCGAGGGCGTCCTTGTAACGTTGAACGCTAGCACCGCTTGCCTCATTGTTTCGAGCTGACAAATCATCGGTAATGTTAGTCGTGAATCGCAGGCCGTGTTGCTACATCCCCTCTCCCGCAGTACGCCTGTCGGCAAACATAGTCCGTAACTTGTGAAAAGTCATTCGGACTATTGCCGTGACGGGTAACATCCGACAACACTTTAGTGAATTATTTAGTGACTCAGACGGATTGGTCGTCATGATACCGTACCGGTGACCATCGTCGTGAGATAATGTCCACTTATCGAAATCAATGTCGGCAAGATAGGCGTATGCAGCGGGCCATTTGATTTGGATTGCGTGCATGTGTTGAAGGAATTGATCCCTTGTCACAGCAGTACCAGCTTCCCACACAAGTTTGCGTAACCGCCTATTTCTGGTCACCCTTGACATGACATTGCTGCGAATGTGTCTTAGGCAAAACCGGCGTTTGACACGACCCCCCTTCAATTGTTCGACGGAATTAAACGCCGCATCGATTCCAGCGTGTCTATCCGAGACGATGCACATGGAATTGTGATGTGGAAAGACATTTTCGGCCAGAAGTCGAAGAAACCAAGTCCAACTGGCATTATTTTCGGAGTCCACGATCGAATATGCCAGTGGATAGATTTCCTTGTTGGCGGTATATCCGCAGGCTAGGAGGAGATGACCTTTGTACCTGTTGTACAAGTGGGTACCGTCAACACAAATAACCGGGATGCAGTAGCGGAAACCATCTAATGCAGGCTTGAACGCCCAAAATGCGTACAAGAAATTTGCGTACCCTGTACCCCTTTCTGCGTTATGTGTGGTCATGATTTCCACAATGGTACCTGGGTTGGACAGTTGCAACTGCCGGCAGAATTGTGGTAGCTCATTGTATGACTGCTGGTAATTCCCGTACTGCATTTCAATGCATTTGTGTCTGGCATACCAAGCTTTCCGGTACGAAATGTCGACACCAAATCGTTGTCTCACATCTACTTGGATGTGTTTTATTTTGTACTGTGGATCCGCAGTGATCTTTGGAAAGATCAGATCACATATTAACGAGCTGGTGCACAGTTTGTCCGCCGGCCGCTGGTTGAATTGAACAGTGCACTCGTGGGGCTGAGTGTACTTCGTGACCTGCCATTCAGTAGACGCCCCATGCAACTTCTTTGCGGATAATGTCCACGGGCAAGATGGTGTTGAGATATAATGTGTACAGGAGACCTTCCAATTTGCCCTTTTTTTGTGGTTGGTGATGTAGTCCCGCCCGTGCAGCATATTGTATGTTCCTACTGCTTTTTTTAGGGTTGGAAAATCCGGGAATACCATTCCTTTTGCAATAACATTTGTGGAGGGGTCGTATGATAGGGTTTCATCATCGTCCCTCTCCGTAAAGCCGTATGCGAATGCAGTTGTTGTAGGTGGTATCGGTGACTGGTAAGACGGGACCGAAGGGCAAGTGGAAAGCGTGGACCTCCGGCCTCCATCGCTCTAGAAGGGCAGTAATAAGCCCATGATCCAACTGAATCTTGGGCAACTGAGAAACACCGTACAAACCAGCAACTCGCAGCCATGCTTTGACTCTATCATCATTCACGGCTGCACACCTAGTCAACATATCGTATTTAACGGCTTTAAGTTGAAAGTCGTACGTTGGATCCGTCCAAATTGCCCTACTACGGTGACGGGTTTGAAATGGTAACGAACCCTCTTGTAGTGGCCCGGGATGCACTCGCCTGTTGTTAGCCATTCCTGTATCAAAACAATTCATAATACTTACAAATTAAGAACATTATAACAACTTCGAACAACAAGTTACGCAATTAACAACACGGCAGTACATAAATAAATAATTTCGTTAAATACTATCAAAATAAATAATAACATAAATAAATAATTTCGTTAAATACTAACAAAATAAATAAATAATAACATTATGGCAAAACTCGGAGCAGGTTAGTCTGAATTTTTTTTAAATCGGACCAAAATGCTCCGAATTTTTTAAAATTTGTAAGACTCGGACCATAATGGTCCGAGGTTTACAATTCTAAATAAGCTCGAATTTTTATTTTTTTTGCCTTCAAGGGACGCTGTAATATAAACCTTTTTTTACCAACTACTTTATTAAATGGGATGCTGTAATATAAACCTTTTTTTTTACCTCAAATATAATACTCCCTCTGTCCCATTTTGCATGTCTTACTTTCCTTTTTAGTTTGTCCCAAAATGTTGTCCTCTTTCTAAAATTGAACATCACCATCATTCTACTTTTTCCCAAATTACCCTTATGACTTTTGCTTTTATTTCCAAAAGTGAAAAAGTGAAGGGCACAATTGGAAAATACATAGCATTTACTTTAATTCCTTAAAAAGTGTGCAAAAAGCAAATGAGACAACCAATTCGGGACGGAGGGAGTACTTTTTTTTTTCTCACATAACATTCAGTTCAGTTTGTACCAATATTCATTGATGAAGTACATAAATTAAATATTTTTTGAGATTTTACCTACACTTACATTTTCTTTTTACATATTTCTATGACATTGAAGATATATACTTATACACTCCTAATTTTTTTTTTTATTATTTTGGTTCGGACTTCATCACTCCAGAGAAATTATAATACTATACTCAATATACTACTTAAAATGGAGACAAATTAAAAAAATAAATTCTGACTTAACAAATACAAAAATAATAACTGCATTTAAACATAAAAAAAAAAATTATAAACGGCATTTAAAATATATATATTTCCCATTCAGTAAATTTCTGATTTTTCTAAAACAATATAATTATAAACGGGGATATAATCTACAATAAAACAACATAACATAATAATAAATAATGCGGTGTATAAAATATGAACCGACTAAAATAATATTCCTCAATATAATTTTTTTTTTTTTACCTCAAATATAAACCTTTTTTTTTTCCTACGCAGTGTAAAACAACTCAAATATAATTTTTTTTTTTTACCTCAATATTGCAAACTGTAGATGTATGGGAAGATGTTTGAGAAGATATTTGGGAAGATGCAGTGCTGATCCAATCTAAATGCTTGAGAAGTGGCTTGGGAAGAACCTTTGAATAACACAAATATGTTGAGAGAGAACAGCTTTGTGAAATGGCTATGAATCGCAATCAGTAGAACAAACAAATATGTGGAGAGAGAACAGCTTTGTATGCCTATGAATCCGAATCAGTAGAACAAATGCAATTGTGGAGCATTCTACATTTTATACTCATACATCCGAAATAAGCATGCATGCATTGTAACATCATGGGGGAAAAGTCCAATAAAGCTGTTTAACATTTAAATTAAAGTTTCATTGGGAAGGGAAAGTGTCTGCAAAAGCTTTGGGTTTGACCAACACCATGCATTGGGGTTTGGGACGGTTATTGGGAAATTAAAATCGCCAATTTATTCAAAATGCGCATTGGGGTTTGGGGCGGTGGGTGGGGCGGTGGTTGGGAATTAAAATTCCGCATTTTAATCAAAAAACGGATGTCAACCCTCCGAATTTTGATCAAAAATCGAATGATATCCCTGCAAGTCTTGATATTCACAAATTCGGACTCCAACCTTACGCTTTTCCCTCCCTTATATCCACTTATTCATGCATGCAATTTTGGGATCCACCCAATATATCCGGCATCACCGCCAAATGCACCCTTACATCTACTAGTCATCGTCTTACATCGCTCCGGTCAGAAATTAATCCCATTAAATTGAAGAAGTTGCGTCGGCGGCTAGGGAATGCAGGGAGATGAGAAGATCGGCAAAGAAATTGATCCCTTTTGTCTTATCACGCGCGGAACCTGCATTCCGGAAGCAAAAACTTCCATTTTAGCTCTGGGCATTGCCAACCCAACCTCAATATCACCTTTTGAATCCCTGCACCTACAAAGAGACATTGAATTTCCGGCATCAATGGACACAAACTCCACCTTCTCCGCCTTTCCCCACCCGAAATCTGCACCCTATAAGTCAATTCTTGGATATCCGGCAATCGCAAAAATTCGCCGCGAATTTGCTTCTTTAAACTCTGATAACTAGAACTCCTCCCTCATTATCCACTCCTCATCGTTCACGCTTCTCCGATCAATTCCGCCGCCGTTACGAACCCTTCGCTCCAACTAACGCTTCGTTTCTTGATTTCGCAAATCGGTAATCCGCGGCGACCGGCGAGCTCTTCACCAAGATCTCCAAAGGCCGCCTATGCGAGGAATTGGCGAGGAATTACTTCCAGCAGCTCATTTCCGCCATAGATTTCTGCCACAGCCGAGGGGTCTACCACCGCGACTTGAAGCCGGAGAATTTGCTCCTGGATGAGGATGGGCACTTGAAGGTCACGGATTTCGGCTTCACTGCATTCTCCTACCACCTGCGACAAGATGGCATGCTACAACGAATTTTCAACCCAATTTGACCACAAGAGATGACAGATTTGACTATTTGAGAGCCTTTCAAGAAAGCTCCTATTAATCGAATTATAAGAAAGATCAACTGTTCTGGGCCTATAAAGCTTTGCAATATCATTTGGGATAAAACCACTCAAATGGTTATGACTAAGTGAAAGGTTTTGAAGCTCATTAAGCTTACCTATGGAAGCAGGAATAGTTCCAGAGCTGTAGATCTGTTCTAGCAACGTTGGGTAGCCTAGGTGGGTGTGTAACAAGGAAAACTCTAGTCAAACTAGGTGGAAATGACTGAAATATATATATATATATATATATATATATATATATATATATATATATATATATATATATATATATATATTGCATATATATGTTATATGTAAAAGAAGAATACAATGTGTGTATATATATATACAACTATGCTAACGGTAGAAAATATGAGAAAGGTAAGAGAACCAATCATCTAGGAATTTACCTAAACTATGATCCTAAGAATATGGAAATAATTATGAATACATATATATAATATTCTATAAGATATGTAATATAAATATAGATATTTATTCTTCTTCACTCCCCCTAAAGCTCAATGGTGGTACATGAGCTTGGAAGTTATGGCGTTGAATGTTTGAAGGAGGAGGCCCTTTGTGAAGATGTCGGCCAGTTGTTGATTAGATGGAACGAAAGTGGTGCGTAGTGTACCAGAAGTAATCTTTTCTCGAACGAAATGACAATCAATTTCGACATGCTTTGTTCGTTCATGGAAGACGGGATTGTTGGCAATGTGGAGAGATGCTTGATTGTCACAATGTAAATGTGCAGGATGAACTGGTATATCTAGTTCGGATAAGAGTAGTTGGAGCCATGTAATTTCACTTGATACACTTGCCATGGCACGATATTCAGCTTCAGCGGAGGATCGAGAAACTGTGGTTTGCTTCTTTGTTCGCCAGGATAGCGGACTTGTTCCTAGGAAAGTGCAATATCCTGTAGTTGAGCGTCGTGTGGTTGGACAAGAGGCACAGTCAGCATCACAATATGCATGTAATTTTAAGGAATTATTTGTGGATAATAGGATACCACGAGCAGGAGACATTTTGAGATAACGCACAACTCGAAGAGCAGCGTGCCAATGTGTGTCGTGTGGTGTGGACATAATTGAGAAAGAAGATTGACTGCATAAGTGATATCTGCTCGAGTGACCGTAAGGTAGAGTAGACGACTAATCAATCTTCTATATATGGAGGGGTCAGTGAGAAGTTCACCAGTATCAGGAGTGAGTTGGTGGTTAACCTCTATGGGAGTTGAGGCGGGTTTGCAAGCTAATAGCCCAGTATCGGAGAAAATCTCAAGAGTATATTTCCGTTGATTTAGGAAGATTCCAAGAGAGGATCGTGCAACTTCTATTCCAAGGAAGTATTTTAATGGACCCAAATCTTTGAGCTGGAATTGATGTGTAAGGTAACGCTTGAGGATAGTAATGATAGTCGAATCATTCCCTGTAATTACAATATCATCAACATAAACAAGCAATATGGTTAGAAAATGACCTCGTTTATAAGTGAACATGGAATAATCTGCTTTGGATTGTGTGAAGCCAGCATTAGTGAGGGACGTGGAGAATGTTGTGAACCAAGATCGAGATGCCTGTTTAAGCCCATAGAGAGATTTGTGGAGACGACAAACGCGATTCTCCCCCTTTCGCCCAAAACCGGGAGGGACCTGCATATAGACTTCTTCATGAAGAGTGCCATGAAGAAAGGCATTAGAGACATCGAGTTGATGGGTAGCCCATCCTTGTGCAGTTGCGATGCTTAGAATTGTACGGACAGTGACAAGTTTAGTAACAGGGGCAAAGACATCAGTGAAGTCCAACTCTTCAAGTTGAGAGTATCCTTTGGCGACTAGGCAAGCCTTGTACCGCTCTACAGAACCATCAGGGTTATATTTAATACGGTAGACCCATCGACAACCAATAGTAGACTTACCAGGTGGTAGAGTGGTTAAAGACCAAGTGTGATTGGCTTCTAGAGCACGAATTTCTTCTTCCATGGCTTGTTGCCATTTAGGGTCTTTTCATGCTGCGGAGAAGGAAGAGGGTTCAGTTTCTTTAGAAATGTTGTTTATGAAGCAGATGTGGTTTTCATTGTATGGTTTAAAGTTGAGAAAGTTGGAGATGGGATATTTTGTGGATGTGGTCATGTTGCATTGGTAGTCGGAGAGGTAACTAGGAGGCTTTCGTTGCCTTTGAGATCGTTGTAGGATAGGTTGCACTTGCGTGGGGATGGGTGGGTTAAGCATTGGGGAATTAACCTCAGGTGGAGGATTTTCTTGAAAGGTAGGTATGGGAGGAGTGGGGTTAGGATTCTTAGGAATAGGTGAAGTAGTTGGAGTACCATGTGCTTCAATGGGTGGTATGGGATTTTCAGGAAGAGGATTAGTAATTGGGGTATTGTGTGTTTCAATGGATGGTATGGATAATGACAATATAGGGGTGAGTGTTGATTGATCAGATAAATTAGGATCATTTTTAAAAGGAAAAATAGTTTCGTAGAAGACAACATCGCGACTTACCAAAATTTTCTGAGAGTCAAGATCATATAACCTGTAAGCTTTTTTACCTTGAGGGTAGCCAAGAAAAATGTAATGCTTGGCCCTAGGATTGGACTTATTAGGATGATATTGTATGGTAGAAGCATAACACAGACAACCAAAAGTATGTAAAATAGTGAAATCAGGAGAACAACCAAAAAGAATTTCAAAAGGAGTTTTATTTTGTAAGTTTGGAGTAGGGGTACGGTTAATAATGTAAGTAGCGGTTAAAACACAATCACCCTAAAATTTGAGGGGTAGGCCCGCTTGGAAGCGTAGAGCACGTGCCACATTAAGGAGATGGCAATGCTTGCGTTCGACAACCCCATTTTGTTGAGGTCTCCCAGGACAACTAAGTTTTTGTAAAATACCATTTTGAAGTAAGATGTTTTGAAAATCAGTTTGTGTAAATTCAGAACCATTGTCACAACGAAAATGTTTAACACGTGTTGAAATGGTTTTTCACATATGATAAAAAGCGAACAAGTAATAAGAAAGCATCAGACTTATATTTCATTAAAAAGGTCCATGTTGCCCTAGAAAAATCATCAACGGTAGTTAAGAAATAATAATGTCCAGTACGAGTGGGGTTAGAATATTTACCCTAAATATCAACATGAATCAAATCAAAGCAAGCAGAAGTAGAAGTATGACTAATAGGAAAATATAAACGTGTTTGTTTGGAAATATGACAAACATCACAAGGGTCTTGAAAATCAAAACAACCCAAAATAGAAATTAAATGTTTAAAAATAGAATGGGACGGATGACCAAATCTAGCATGCCATGTATTAGGTGTAATGGTGAGTAATGCAGCGGGGTGTGGTGGAGAACTAAAAAAGTATAAGCCATTGCGTTCATGGCCCCGACCAATCTCCATCTTCATTGAAAGGTCCTGAAACACACAATAATTAGGAAAGAAAATAACAGTACAATTGGAATCTTTAGCCAATTTTTGTATAGATAATAAGTTAAATTTAAATGTCGGTACATATAAAACATCAAGTAAAACGATAGTCGAAGATAGGCGAGCATTACCAATACCATGGACAGGAACCATAGTACCATTTGGAACAGATATATTAGTCACCATATTATTAGGCATAGACAAATTATTTAAAATAGATGGGTTAAAACAGACATGATCAGTAACACCTGTGTCAATGACCCGTTCATTTGAAAAATTAAAAATAGAAGTTAAAGCAATAGACTTACCAACAAGGTTTGCTTTAGCTCTTTTACCTCTCGTAAAAGTCGAAGTAATTGCTGAATGGAATCGGAAGAGATCTCTGACGAAGTTGGTGGTGTCACCATAGGTTGGCTATTTGTATTGCCTTTTTTTTGTAATATTTGTGCCCAGGGGGATATCCATGCAGCTTGTAACAAGATTGTTGCGTATGGCCAGGGATCCCACATTGTGCACACTTTGTCCGAGATCGATTGTTGTTGGAACGAGAAGTAGAAGCAGATGTATGGATATTAGTCGCAGATGATAGGTTGGCAGCAGCAACGAATTGTGGATGTTGTGTGTTTGTAGCTTGAAGAGCAGAATGTTCTGCAGAATGTCCACCATTGCTACTTTGTATACGTTGGAATTCATCTTGTAGCAGTAAGTTGTATGCATTTTTCACAGTGGGAAGAGTGTCGTTGAGCAACAATTGACTCCGTGGTTGAGCAAAAGTTTCGCGAAGGCCCATGAGAAACTGCATCAACCGACGGCGTTCAATTTGTGCAACGTAGTCATGTTGAGCAGAGCATGAACATTTATGAGGATGATCTAACATATTTAATTCATCCCAAAGGGCACTCAACTGATTGTGGTAATCTGAGATGGACGCATCTTTTTGGTAACAAGTTGTAATGCGTTTCTCAATATCATAGATACGAGGTCCATTTGATGTAAAGAAACGATCTTTTAAATCTGTCCAGACTGAGGCAGCATCTGGTGTAACAACCCAAAATTTCATTTTATAAATCCGGTATTAAGAAATCCCAAAATAGCGTTTTTCACTCCATTAAAAATTTGTGTGAACAATTGGTGTTAGAATAAATTATTTTCGTCACATTTTAAATTAATTCGACACCAAAATGGATTCTATTCGAAAATTTCTAAGTTTTCGGGTACTTCGCGTATCAAGATTTAAATCGAGAAATTTATCTGAGTGAGACCGGGAGAATTCAAAAAGATTTTAAACAAGTGTTCATCCAAATAGCTTTTTGAGAAAATTCATTTTCAACCCCAAAGTATTTAAAGTTAGCATTTCTAGCCCTGGTCCATGATACAAGGTGAACCATTTCATTCCAAAAGACTTTGCTGAGAATTCATTTTATGCAAGCTTTTACCATTTTGCCCCCAACCAATCATTGGTCTTCTACCTAGGGTTTTGGACCCTATATAAACTCCACTATTCCATCTTGACTCCCTGATCTCTTTCTTTGCCTCTCCAAAATATTTTGTCTGCCAAGAGAAAGGGAGAAAACAACATCACAGTAAGCTCATTCCTTCTTCAATCCTAGCCTTCATTTCCATTCTAGTTTCTTTTAATCTTTGAGGTTCTAGGCTAAGATTGTATGGTGTGTTTGGGAAGTATAGGTGGTGAAGGAG